GAACCCCAGTTTAATCGTGAGAAAAATATCGGAAAGTTCCAATAGAAAGACGTGCTACAAAACCTCTGATGAGTACTCCTCAAAACTAATCATCAAAAACAGGGCAAGTGTGGGGCGCCTGGGTGGCTCAGTTGGTTAGGCGACTGCCTTCGGCTCAGGTCATGATCCTGGAGTCCCTGGATCGAGTCCCACATCGGGCTCCCTGCTCGGCAGGGAGTCTGCTTCTCCCTCTGACCCTGCCCCCTCTCATGTACTCTCTCTCTTTCTCTCTCTCTCAAATAAATAAATAAAATCTTTAAAAAAAAAAAAAAAATCCGGGCGCCTGGGTGGCTCAGTTGGTTAAGCGACTGCCTTCGGCTCAGGTCATGATCCTGGAGTCCCGGGATCGAGTCCCGCATCGGGCTCCCTGCTCATCAGGGAGTCTGCTTCTCCCTCTGACCCTGCTCTCTCTCATTCTCTCTCTCAAATAAATAAATAAAATCTTAAAAAAAAAAAAAACAGGGCAAGTGTAAGGAACTGTCACAGCCAAGAGTAGCCTAAGGAGACATGACGACTAAATGTAATGTATTGTGGGCGGGGTCCTGGGACAGAAAATAGACATGGAGTAAAATGGGTAAAAACAAAGAAATCTGAATAATGTTTGGACTTTAGTTAATTATAACATATCAGCATTGGTTTATTAACTGTGGCAATGGTACCACACTAATATAAGAAGTTAATAGCAGAGATAACTAGCTGTGAAATGTACAAGAACACTCTGTAACATCTTTGCAATATTTCTGTGTGTCTAAAATTATTCTAAGAGAAAAAGTATATTTGGGGAAAAAAAAGGAAGTTTGCAACATCATTTGTGCTTAGTCATAAGCTAATAGCAAGACTATTTCTTTTAGTAATGGACTGTGTTTGCATGGTCTTCCAGAGGTCGTGCAGGAAGCAGCCTGGGGTCTTAGGTACAAGTGACAGAAATCTACTCTGAGTAATTGACGCAGACGAGGACTTTGCTGTAGGACACTGAGGAGCACACAGAGTATATGAGAGGGCCTCCGAGGCCAGGCAGCTGGGACAGAGTTGGAAACCACGTTCAGAACTGGCCCAGTGGAGACCCCACCGCTGCTGCCATGGACCCCCCCCCCCAGGAGTTTATGCTGCATAGTTTACACTGTCGGCCCTCAGATGCGACAACATTCAGGTGCAGCCCCCAGATCTGCCACCTCAGGGAAACTGTTCAGCTGCTGTTGCTGCCAATACCCTGCTAGAAGGACTTTCTGCAGGATCCCCCCTCTGCTTCAGCAGTTCACAGTTCAAATCAGGGGCATGAGCCTGATTTGGCCAAGCCCTGCTTGCTGCAAAGGAGATGCAGAAGTGAGTATTTGAATTTTCAGTTTCTGCAGTGGAAGGCTGTGAGGAGAAGATCTCAGGAAGAAACTGAGGGCTGAGCTGGGTTTTTCTCCACAGTGCGGTAAATTGGGATTTCCTTTCACTGGGTCTATTCGCCAGGCTAAGGGAACTCAGTTAAGATGGGGAAATGGTCACTAGTGAGGAGAAGTAAGTATCTAGGATATGGATGATCCAGATGGCCAACTACATTGTGCTAAACCCAACTTAGATGGGAGCAAAATATTTGTTTCTAGTCAAATCACTGAACAGGCATTATGGACTGCATTGCATTACCCCAAAATCCACACGCTGAAGCCCTAAGCTATAATTATATTTGGAGACAGGACCTTTAAGGAGGTAACTGAGGTTAACTGAGGGTATAACAGTCAGGCCCTAATCCAATAAGGACCGTGTCCTTATCAGAAGAGAAAAAGACACAACGGCTCTCTTTCTCTCTCTCTCTGTGTGCACAGAGGAAAGGCCATGTGAGGACACAACAAGAAGGCAGATGTCTATAAGCCAAAAAGAAAAGTCTCACCAGAAACCAACCCTGATGGCGGCACCTTGACCATGGACTTTCAGCCACCAGAACTTTGGGAGAATAGATGGCTATTGTTAGAGCTCCCATCTTTGGTATTTTGTTATGATAGCCTGAGCTAAGGCAACGGGTTTTCAGGGGGAGTTATCCTAGAGCTGTTTTCTTGAATCTCTTGTCATGGTTTCTGTGGAATGCTGTGAGGAGAATCCCCATGGTACAGAAATCGCCTCCACTGAGCAGGGTCCACTTCCTGCTTAGGTGTCAGAGTTGTTCACTCCAGGGGTCCCTGCGCACGGCAGAAGGGGCAAGGGCAAGGGGCAGAGCTCTAGCTTTGTGGTTAGACAACTCAGATCCAGAGTCTCTGCTCTGCCACTTTCCAGGTGGTGACACTGGGCAAGGGATGTCTCTGAGCCTTCACTCTGGGATGAGAGCCGAAGCTCTTCCTGGTACCGTTGGAAAGGGGAGTCCAAAGAGGCCAGCTTTTCTTACAAAACATGGTATTTGTTGTCACATAAAGGCAAGCCCTGCGAAACCTGTCACTTCCTTTCAAACAGGACCCTCTAATGCCAGCAAATGCCATGGGAAGAACACAGTGCCATTGGCTACATTGAGCAAAGGTCATTTCCATTCCAGGCAATTAAAACACGGCATCAGTGCAGATTACAACAAAACAGCTTTTAAAAAAGAGGGAGAGATGGGCGCCTGGGTGGCTCAGTTGGTTAAGCGACTGCCTTCGGCTCAGGTCATGATCCTGGAGTCCCTGGATCGAGTCCCGCATCGGGCTCCCTGCTCGGCAGGGAGTCTGCTTCGTCCTCTGACCCTCCCCCCTCTCATGTGTTCTCTCTCTCTCATTCTCTCTCTCTCAAATAAATAAATAAAAAATCTTTAAAAAAAAAAAGAGGGAGAGAGACATTTGAATATAGACTTAATATTAGACATTATAGGCTTTTTATTGATTTCCTTAGTAATGACAGTATATGGTGATAGGTGATACAGGACTGTGTTCTTATCCTTAGGAGATTTATGCTGAAGTGTATAGGGATAAGGAGTCACCATGTCTGGAAATTACTTTCAAATGGTTTTGCAAAACAATTTTAAAAGAAATAGAAAGCGAGATAGAGCAAATACGGGAAAATGTTAAAGTAGATAATGAGCTCATAGAAATTGGTGACCTTGATTGATCCATGTTTCTTCATCCACTCACCATCCACTCATCACTCCCTGCCCAAATCCTTTCTCCAGTTTACCGGGCACATGGTAGGCACTCAATACGTTTGGTGAATTCATATTAAAAATAAAATTTGCTTTACCTGCTAACATTTGCATAGCTAAGCAAAGACACGGTTTCAAGCCATTTGCAAAGAAATACCCACAACTAATGACTTTCATAAGTAAACATAATCTCCTTAAAATCACAATTGAACATTGATTTTTCTGCCCAGAGTCTAGTGTCAAGCAAGAGCCCACTTGTCCTTTGTCCCAAGATGCTCCCACTGGACCTCGCATTCTCGGGAGACCCGGCTTCCGGCACCCCACACACTTCTCCCAGTGCTGTGTGCCCCCACTAGGGTCCCTTCCACAGCAAGGTTTTGGGAGCAAACCATGTGGGCAAAAGCAGTTCGATGGAAAATAGCGCATGTGTGGTACATTTTTTAAAAAATGATTTAAACAAACTGGCACTGGAAAACATTTATTTGCAACCAGCTTCTAAAAATTAAAGTAATGGAAACATTACCCAAGAGGCAATGAACTCTAGTTTCTTGTTTGAGAATGAATCAGACATTTAAAAAAACTCTAAACATTTTCAGATTCTTCCGTTGTTTCAGTTCACCTTCCATTGCTTTTTCTCTTATTCCAAAGGAAATTTTGTCCATGATAGAAACATCGGAAATCAAGGACAAGAAAAATAAAGTCATCCTCACCCTGAGATGACTGTCACATTGCTGTAGGTCCTTTTGTGTAATAATAATAATGATAATGATAATAATAATAGATATTACCACTTAGTGGGTGCTTACTATGTAGTGGGAATATTTCAGTCCCCACCACAAGAATAGGAGATTTACAGATTGAAAAATTGAGGCTGAGAGAGGGTAAGTCCCTTGCCCAGGATCACACAGCTGAGAAGCGTGGGACCAGGGTTGGACCTGCAGATCTGTTCACCTCCAGAGGTCAGACTTGTGACCATAGCTATACACTCTGTCCCATAAATCTCTGTCATTTCTTTACAAAAACAAGATTCTATCAGACAATCTTCTACTGTTGGATCATTACATTGTTTCCAGCTGTGTTCGTTTGTTTTATTTTGTTTTGTTTCAAGATTTTACTTGATCGAGGGGAGGAGCAGAGGGAGAGGGACAACAGACTCCTCACTGAGTGTGGAACCCAGTGCAGGGCTGGATCTCATGACCCTGAGATCATGACCTGAACCAAAATCAAGAGTCAGATGCTCAACCGAGCCACCCAGGTGCCCCTTGTGTTCGTTACCTCTTGCTGCTGTAAACAATTAGCCCACATGTAGTGGCTTAAAACAACATATATTTATCGTGCACTGTTATGTCCTCATACCATAGGGCACCCTGTGCTGGGGTCTTCCCCGGGGTGGCTGGTCCCGTCTGGTCTGGGCATGTCAGGCAGATAACAGAAGACCTTCTGGAGCCTGAGATCCCAAGGGCCTGCCCTTGATGTGAGCACCCCTGTGCTAATCTCTAATTTATATAAACCAAATAGCTCTCCCAGACATTCCTCACCCTCCACCAGACGTGTGGGAACGCCTGGATCTCTATCCTAGAACTGGGTAGGAAGCCTGGGGCACTATCTCTGCCCACCTCTGGGCGGCGCTGCTTCGCCACCCCGGTGCCCCATCAGACATGGCACCACACCGAAGGTGGACTGCTCTAAGAGGCTTAGAGCACCAGCCCCAATTTGTTCTAATTCACCCCAAACTTAGCAGGTGGTTTCCTCCACATGCACTGCCTCTCGGTGGAACGGTGTATTAGTCAGCTGTTGCCACGCTCGTGCCGTGTAAGGAACCACTTCAAAACTCAGTGGCATCCAACGATGGGCATCGACTTTTTTCACTCACCTGTCTGTGCTTTGGCTGAGGGCAGCTGGGCTTGGCTCCAGGTTCGAGCTGAATTCACATTTGCTCCACAGGACTCCATATTCCCCTTGGAACAGCAGCTGTCAGAGGCACAGTCTTCCTGTGGAAAATCAAAGAGACACTAGAGAACAGGAAAACACATCGCCTCTTAAGGCCTTGGTTCTGCTGTTCACATCCCATTGGTTTAATCAAGCCCCTTGGCCAAGTCCAACACCAGTGAGGCAGGGAAATCCGTCCTGTCATTCTGTCTTCGGCAAGGTCACAAGACGGGGAGAGAGCGATGTTCAGGGTTTAGGAGAAACTGGAAGAAAGGAGAAACTACCTCTTCCCAGGAGCCTTTAAGAAGGCTTCAGAGACAAGACGACCTTCATGCTGTTCTTAAAAAATAGCAGTTTTTTACCAAATGGCTCACAGAGGAGGGATATTCTGGGTAAGAGTTTCAGGTTAAGGGACCAAGATGTGGAGAGCACATACCGAGTCCCGAAAGCCTGGTGTAATGGGAAGGGAGCCTGGAGAGTGGGGCAGAGTCAAATCACAGAGGATTTTATGAGCCAGGCTAGGGATTCTGAGGGTTGGACTTTGTTCTAGAAGCCATGAGGAGTCTGTGATGGTTTTTTATTTTATTTTATTTTATTATGCTTATCAAATTCAACACCCAAAGAACAAATAATCCAATCAAGAAATGGGCAGAAGATGTGGTGGGTTTTAAACAAAGAAGAGGCCTGACCAGCCTTGCACAAGGGCAAACAAGGAGGGGAGGTTCCTGTGGGTCTTCTCCCTCCTAAAGCAGCACTCTTCCCAGGAGGACCCCCTACTTCCAGTCACCCAAAGCCCCAAATGCTGGTGTGGCTTCCTCTGCCCTCCCACCCCCACATTAAGCAGCACCACCAGGACCTAACCCTAATGGTGAAAGACAGCTGAGGAGGGTCTTTCGATGATCCTAGGAACAGGGACTGCCCTGTTTCACATGATCTTCTTACAAAACTTGGATGCTGTAGACCACTGATATAAATTCCTAGTCTCTATAATATTTATTTTAGTTGGTGACTGGGAATGTTTGAATAGCATACAAATTTACGGTCAGAAAATATTAGCTCCTAAACACTGCAACCCTGCACCCCAAATCACCTCTTTAAATTCAAATTGTTTTCCCATTCCATCATTTGCAATCAGAGTTTTCATCTTGGACAGATTTTTACAGGTCAGCCCTACACCAGGGATTTATTTGTGCCCATAAACAAAACCCCGATATTAATCGCAAACTATTTCTGATTCTCAGTTAACATTCTTAAACATCTTGTGTCCCGGGGGACTCTTTGTCCCGTCATATGAAGATGATATTTCAAGATTTATATTTCCCCAAAGAAGCAAGTAGATCATAAAACCTAATGTATTCCGTGGTTCGGAATGATAATTTCACAAAGAGGTGAGGGAATATTTCACTGCAGATGATTACAACATCCATGTAAGTTGTTAATATACTACTCACTACTTCCCTTTAAATATTCATCCAGCTCCTTTTTATGGACTAGCTCCTATGCTCCCCCATGTGGGCTGTGGGTGGGTCAGGCACTGAGGACAGGGACGAGTGAGGACAAAGCTTCGGACAGTTTCCTGACCTGGGGTAGGAGGGTTGTGGATGGAGATAGAAGGGAAGAAGCTGCCAGAGAGACAATGACCAGTTGTGAACAGCATGCTGGTGACCGAGAAGGGAGAAAGTTTTGGCAAGGAGAAGGGGCTGGGGTTGGGGGCTAACATCAGGGTCCAGGACACATTGTATGTGGCCACGGGGTGTCTGTCCCTAGAGACTTGGCCAGGCTGGGCAGAGGTGCATGTCTGTTTAATGGAATCAGAATCAGGAAGTCTTAGCACCGATATGGACTCTGTGTGTATTTATTGAGATAGGGTGAGGAGGAGGAGACAATGGTTAGAGATCACCTAGTCCAACCTGCGCATTCCACAGAAGAGAAAATCAAGGCCCAAAGAAAGAGAGGGGTGTCCCCAGGATCCAGGTGCATCAGAAACTCTTCTTCACCTCCTCCCTCCAACTCCCACAGCTGTGATCTTTCCCTCTCAGAACCGCTCAGAAGACTGCAGGCTGGGAGACGCCCCAAGAGATCCCATCTCCTGACCACTGGACAGATGGAGAGACACACCTGAGGTCACACCACGAGGCCGTGTCAGAACCGGGGCCAGAGTTCCCACCCTGTGATCTACCACCTACCCTCTCCCGGCTGCCCTTGAGCTCTCAGATGCAGGGACATGGCTCTGCGCCCCTGACCACAAAGCAGCCACCTGCCCTGACACCCCGAGCACACGGCAGGCTCCCCGCCCCCCACCCACTGCACCACAGGCGGGATCCTGGCACAGACACCAGCAGGAGCAACTGTGACGAAAACCTCTTGTCCTCACGCATCATGGCCTTTAGAGCCCCTTCAGCTCCCTCCTGTCGTGTAAGCCATCCCATTTTACAGACCAGACCACTGAGGCTGGGGAGTGTCAGAGCGTGTGAACCAGTCCTCTGGACCTCCCCGATCAAGTGTCCGGCTTCCTAAAGCGCTGTCCCTAAACTAGACTGCTCCCTGGGATTGGAATACGCCGCTTTGAAGGTGTTTAAAGCTCGGGGAGTTGGGCGGGGGATCGGGAGGAATCCCCACCAACTTTCCTTAACAAAGTCATCTTCCACAGCCTCCCAGATCAGCCTCCCAGAGGTGGTACCAGGCGGGTGCCCGCGTCCCCGCGGGAATATCTGATGTGTGGACGACTGTTGCCCTCTGGTGGCTGAAGGACAAAGTGCTTCATCACCCACTGGGAGAACAAAGACTCCGTCTCCAGGCCTCCGCCACTGGCCACGGGAGAGTGGCGGGGACAGGTTTTTATCCTGGGGGCCCTGGCCTTTGGTGCCATGGCTCCACTGACGGAGGAGATGGACATCAGCTCAGGAAACCGCTCCCGAGGCCGGGCTGAGGGACTGAGTCTGGGGACTGAGGCGAAGATGCAGCTTGACTGTTGCTTTGGCAGGCGCTCGTCTGGGGGTGCTCTGGGGCTCGCCAGGTGTGGGTCCCCCTCAGAACCCACCCCACCTGCCTCTCAGCTGCCACTGAAACCCGACCTCAAGGCCCAGCTCTCGCCCCCTGCAGGAAGCCTAGTTTGTTGTACCCCTCCCCCCCCCAACCCCACCGGACTCTGCCCCAGCGGGTGACAGCTGGTGACGCCTCTGCCACGGGTCAGGGTGAGTGGGGACTGTGGCTGATGTCCGCTCAACTTTAGATTTCTGAAGGCAGGGGCCGGTCTTGTTCGGCTCCCAGAATGACGCCAGGCCCAGCCTGGGGTGAGTGAGCACGTTTGCTGAATGAGCCCAGCCCCGCTTTGCTATGGGTTTGAGGATGAGGCCACAGAAAGAACTTCTGGGGAGGACTGAACAAGCCACCCGCCGTGCATGTGTCCCCACTTCTCCAAGGAGCCCTCAGGGCCGCACCTGTTTGGCAGGTGTCCTCCGGGCCAGCCCCAGGGGAGCGGGTCAGCAGGACCTGGGATGGATTCTGGGGGGTTAGCTCTATGCCTCTGTCTTGTCTTCTATACAATAGGAGCAACTCATGCCGGTTGCCGGTTACCAAACGTTAAGGGAGACAATGGATGAAAACCCATGCACAGCATGGTCAGTCTTGTCAATACCCGCCGGGTTCTGGGCCCCGGGGAGGCCCGTCCCAGCTGCTCGCTCACTCCGTCCCGGCTGCAACTACGCAGGGTGGTGGGCCCGAGCCTGGGCGTGGGAACCAGGCTGCCTGAGTCTGAGTCCTTGCTCTGACACTCACCAGCTCTGGCACCTTAGGGGTGTTATCCAATTCCTCTGTGCCTCCGCCAGCCCATCCAGAAAGGGGTGATGATACCAGCACTCCCATCACAGCGTTATTTGGAACATCCAATGAATGAACACCTATAAAGGGGCAAGAACAGGGGCTACCACTTAGGAATGGTTCAGAAAAGCGAGCTCTTCCCGCATCACTATGTACAAGTGCTTGTCGGGAGCCCGGCTCAGCCCGGAATGGTGTATCTCAAAGACGGAGCTGAGCTGCCTTTTACGTAAAAATTGATATTTCTAATGCATGCGCTTGGGATAAGCTTCTTCATCCTGTGGCCAGCATGCCATGGGTGCGAGAGGAAAAACATCGTATGCCTCAAAGACATTTGTGGCTCAACGTGTATTGAATTATTTAAGGAATTAAGAGGTTCTGTTTTCCTCCACAGAGATTTGCACTGCCCTGCATGGATCTGTAAGACGGCAATAACCTATAACCGAGACGCTGGCCGTGATGGCCACGCTCTGCCAGCACCGAGCAGAGACCCGTGGCTGAGAGAGTAGCCATCCATCTCCCGAGAGCCCTGAAGACCGTCGTGTTAACCCAGGACCATTTAATATTTTCATTAATGACTTGAAGGATGGAATCGAGACCCGACTAATCAGATGTCCGCACAATACAAAGCTGGAAGGGATCTTAGCTACTTTGGAGGACAAGATTAAAATACGATCCAAGCTTGACGAATTGCAGAGATGGGCCTAAATCAATAAAGAGAACGGCAATAAAGACAAATGTGAGCTGCCACACTCAGAGCCGAGGAAATTATCCGGGTACCAAAGGGCGACGAGAGAAATGAGTTTTGAGGGGGCCGGGAGGAGCTACCTGGAGGTAAACTCATCAAGTCATAGCATTTGTACAGTGGAGAGGCTCAGCTCTGTCATCTAGTGGACCTCAAACATCAGTGAGTTTTAAGACTTACTTACTGGGAGAGCTTGGAAAAATGCAGATGTCCAGGCCATGGGCCCAAGATTGTGGCTCAGGAGGCCTGGAGTGGGGCGAAGATGATTCTGGTGCTGGCCGTCCCCGGGTGGCCAGAGCCTGACAGGGAAGCAGGCAGCCTCTGACCGCACCGCTGGTTCCCAAATGTTGACTCTAGAACACTTGTCCCATGGTGCTCTGCAAGAAGTGACTTCCATGAGCAAATCAGCTTGGAAATGCTCCCTTTTAGAAAGAAAAACAAAAAGTCACAAAGTAAGTGAGCATGTTTATGACTCCAAATTTTTCTGCAATTAAATAAACAGCTTAACTCAGTTTAATCCAGAGTCCCCCAAGCTTGTGACCAGGGAGCCATTTCTTCATGTGACATGGAGCAACAGCCTGTAGAACACACTTCAGAAAATGGGATTCCCACTCAAGACCCTCCCTCATCAAATTCTCCGGGATGTCTCAGTCCTTTTCACTGCCCTGTGCTGAAATGTATCCAGGGGTCTGGACCTTGCAATCATTTTGAATGCTGCTCTGTCAGATTTCCCTGGGTCCTCTAACATTTAAGGAGAGGGTGAACAAAAACTTGCTAGAGGCTTCTATTGCCTGTTAACAGTGCACCGGGTATCCCAGATTAAGAAAGGGAGGGAGGGAGCCTTTCCTACTTTGTTCATTGTCTTCCTTGAGCTTGTGTCAAAAACTGCTAGTTGCCTCCCCATGCCTATTCTCTTTGCTGTCTTAATCACAGAATCCCCATAGCGCTGAAGGGGGCCATGTGTCTCACTATAAAACCACACTTCTCAGCCTCCTTTGCAAATGAGGTGGTCAGTTAGATGCATGCAGAAGTCACCGGGGAGATTTCTGGGGAATTACTTTAAAAGGAATTTACATATTTGGAAGGCACCCTTTCGCCTCTTCCTCACTTCTTCTTCCTGCCTGGGACACAGATACAGTGGGAGGAGCACTGGCAGCCATCTTGGGCCATGAGGTGAACCCACAGATGGAAGCCACTCACTAAGTAAGGATGGTAGGGCAGAAAGCAGATCTTGATGGCACTGTGAAGCCAACAGAGCAACCCTGTCCTGCCTAAGAGAAAAAGATGCACCCTTCTTTGGTTTAAGCCATTAGTTTTCAGGTCTCTTGCTACCAGCAGTTAAATGCAATTTTGAATCCACAGAGAGCAGAACCATCAAAGCCTTTTTGTCATTTTTCACAAATCTCAGCCATGCTGGGCTGCCGTCCTGACCATGTCTCTACGGGTCCTTGCTGTACCTGTTTGTGCGTGTGCATGCGTGTGCGTGCGTGTGCGTGCGTGTTTTCTTATCCCATCTTTGGCGTGAGGTGGTTATGTTGCTTGGCCCTGCAGTCTCTTGTGCAGCCATGCCTGTGTCTTTGGCTGCCTCTCCCTTTTCTCCTCTACTGGAATTAAGCACAGAATGGAAACAACTCAGAACGACATTTTTGAGAGCTTCACATCCTTCTGGACCAAACTTCCCTTTTGGAACCTCTGTCCCTGGAACACTTTTTTCTAAAGTTCTGTAAGCAGCATTCCTGTGTGAAACCAGTGAGCGGCTCCTGAGACCAGGGGGGCTGCATGGAAACTCCATCTCGAGCATTCCCTTATATCACCGACGGGACTTGCTGAAAAGGCAAGGAAAGTCATGCAATTGCAAGGAAAAACGAGAACTGAGCATACTATGTCCTCTCTCCCCCCGCTGCCTCCTAGAGCCAGAGGCCAGTGGAGCTTCTGAGCTGGGCTGCTCGGCTCTGTTAGCACCCCTCTTACCCCTCCACCCCTCCACCACCTGGAGCAGGCTGCGTTTGGCCATGTGGGCACCTGCCTAAAGAGAAAGGGAGATCCTCTGGAGTTCCCCTTTGCCTCTGGCCATGTGGCCTCAAAGGCAACAGAGAGGTCTTTGAACTTTTCCTGTCTTGTTCTTTGACTGGAAAGTCCATTTGCCAGGAGCTTTCTTCCAGGATCAGACCTGGTGAGGCTGTTGCACCTTCCAAGAGACTCACATGGGAGACTCCTGCGAGAAGGGACTCGCGTCCGGTGAATGCCTGATGGCTGACAGCTGCACACATCACCCATCGCCTGCACTCCTACCTTGTTCTCCTCCTCTTCCTGATGCCCTGAACCAGCTTCACTAACTTCGCCGCAAGGCCTCTTCGCTGTTCGCATTGTGACCCCGAGGTGCATTCCAAACCCGCACAGAAAGTCTATTTTCTCCCAATAATACAGGCCACCTGCTCACCCCTGAAGACATTCCCATCCACATTCCCAGTGCCTCCTGGTGATTGAGGAAGCGCACGGACACATGAATGAATGCTGAATAAACACCAAACACATTAAATACTTATAAACTTGTACCAACTGTGTTTCTGCCATCAGGAAGAAGTTGAAGGCAAATCTCACAAGGTTTTACTCAAGGATAACCAGACTCTTATCCCTGATACTCAACACCAAAGCGGACCCCACTCTTTCTGCACAGCCCCCCAGATGGTAGCCTCTCCCTATAAATAAAATTGTTCCCCCTAAAAATTCCGTGACATTCAAGAGGTACGCATCTCCTATGTCATGTTTTTCAACCTGCTCCCTGGATTGCATATCAGGTGCCCCGTGCTTGTCTTCGGCCTCTTTTGGCCAAATAAGCCAGTCAGGGCTCAATTCTCCAATTGACTGGATGGCTCAGGGAACAAACCCTCAAATCTGATTACAGGAAAATTCATTACTTGAAGTCATCCCTCAGGGTTCAGAGCTCATAAAAGAAACCTCCAGTGGCCCTGGCTTAGGGGAAAAGAGGCCCCTGTGCGGTGAATCTACACATTGGCAATAATTAACCTGAACTAATTATGGTCAAGCCCCCAGTCAGTCTTCCCAGAGCAGGGCTGCCTCGAGACAAGCCCTTGATCTTGATATGAAAGAGCATGACCCAGATGGGATCCTCCAGCAGGCAAAGTTGGGGCACGTTGTAGGGTCACTCACCGGCAGGGGCGCAGTTAGAGCCCCAGCCAGGCGAATGCGCGAGGACGCCCTCCCGGGAATCTGCTGCCTGATCCATGGGATCTCAGAGCAAAGACGACCAAAAATATCCACACATAAAGACAGACAGCAAACTAGAATCGATTTGCGCATCTTGCTTAATATGTTAACAGATGACATGGAAAATCAGGGAAAAAGGAATTTGGAAGAAATATTCTTTTCTTCCAAAAGAAAAAAATAGTCAATTGTAAGGAAAGATTGTTTGCCACAGAAATAGCCACCAGTCCGCATCATCACGTGGTCTTTTCAATGTTCAGCCTCACTCTAGAAATAAAACCATGAAAAAAAAAATCATACACTGAGAGAATGTCTTGTCTTTTGAGATGGGCAATGTGGTTTCTGATGTTAATGCACATATCCACAAGGGGGGCAAATCGGGCACACCCCCCCAACCCCCCCACCCCCCGCTGGTGACAATAAATCGTGCAACTTTTAGAAGGCAATTTGTCGATAGATAACAGAAGTCTTAAAATATGCATGTCCTTTAATCTTGTCACTTAACAACTTTATCCTGGGGGCAGTGGTTTTCAGGCAGGGGCTGTTCTGTCACCCAGGGGACACTTCGCAATCTCCGGATATTGCTTGTCAGGATATTGGGGTGGGGGGGCTACTGCATCTAGCGAGTAGAGGCCAAGGGTGCTGCCCAGCACCCTGCAATGCACAGCTCAGCCCCAATGATAAGAATTATTGGTCCGAATGTCAACAGCGTCACTGTTCAGAAACCCTGCTTTAGGGGAGAAACTCAGGTAAGTACACAGGAATATATATCCAAGGCTATTCAAGGCAACGTTGTATAAAAAGTTGAAAGATTAAAAACAGTGCACGTCAACGGGGACTCGCTCAATAAATCGTACTTGGCGCATACACTAGGCTACCAGAAAGCCACTAAAAAGTAAATAAATCTGTTTGTTAACATGGAAATACATTCATCATGTAGTGCTAAATGAGAATATCTGATTTCAAAATCACACGCCTGGTAGGATACTGCTTTTTGTACATCCAGGTACAGAAAACCATCTAAATGCTTGAGACCACCGGGTCACGCTCGACAGTGGTTTTCTCTAGATGGAAACATGATAGGTGATTTCAATTGTTTCTTTTAGCCCATCAGTGTTTTCTATTTTTCTCCCAGCAGCACGGCCAAGGGGGCCTTGCAATGCAGCATTTGAGACGGAGGACTGGAGAGTCAGACGCTGACGGTCCTGGCTGGGTCCTCTCCAAGCCATGGGAAGACCCGACAGATCTGGCACCAGGAGCCCGCATTCCCCGGAGACGGGTTCACCCCCCTCACCCTCATAAAGTCACCTCAGGGCATGGTGGTATTTCCCTTTTCTCTTCCTGGAAACCACCCAAAGCAACAATTTTTACTAAACCTGGAGACATTTAAAATTCCAGAAGCAAAATTATTTGTAAGGGCTGCCCAAAGCAGGGAAATAAGGCAGGAGACTGAACAGGAAGAACATATGAGGAAGTGGAGAGAAAGCCACCAGATAGAATTCTGAAAATGAGAGACACCCCCACATGCAAAACCGGAGTGGCTTATTTATAGCAGTGGGAGAGGAGGGGTTACCGGCTAGCAAAAGGTCCTTTTTCTGGACATGGTTGGGTTTGAAGAAACGGAGCAGGTGAGCTAAATGAGAAGTCACCCAAACTAGCGAATGTGCAGGAAGCAGTTTCCCTCTGAAGCGGCTGAGGAGATGGCAAAAACAAACACCTCTCCCCCCAACAAAAGAAAAACCCGAATAAAAACCAGCTTCTTTCCCTCCATCGGCTGGGGAGCAATAAAGGCTAAACAAACTCATGTACCATACCCTTGCATTATTTTTTAAAACATCATTGTACTGGGGACATAGTGGTGAAGCAGTCACACATGCTTCCTGCCCCTGCAGAGCTCCCAATCTGGTGGGGGAGCCAGAAGTCAGTCACATAATTCCACAAATTCCAAAGCAATATGGGGCGGGGGGGTAGGAGCCTGGGTTTTGGAGGTAGACAAACCCAGGATCTAGCCCCTACTAAGCCACGAAACCTCTCGGAGACTGCTTACCTGCCCAATGGGGAGAAGTACAAGAGCACCTACCTCGTAGGATCGTTGTGGGGTCTAGCAACAGTAATGGGGACTTACTGAAAGGGAAGTGAGCGCAGTGTCCAGCACGTGGCAGGTGCTTAGTAGGTGCTTTGGCTACCACTGGCTCAATACCACTGACAGTATCCGCAGCGGGAGAGTATTATGAAGGGCAAACCGAAGTTGTCCTGAGAGCCTCATCCCAGAGCAGGGTGGGAGGAGGTCTCCTTTAGATGGCGGGTCAGGAAAGCCCAAGGAAACAGAAAAGGAGTCTCTGGGAATTTACAAAAATCTGGGGGATGATTTGGATTCCGCCAATGTGTGGCACTGGTATTCTAGCTGAGCTTAGCTGGATCTCAGGAGCCAGGAGACCCCTGCTGACATCTGCGCCTATTATAAAGCAGAGGGCCCCCCCACCCCACCCCATCCTGTCTCTCCTGTCAGCAGGTGCAAGCAGCCTGGCAGGAGCTAATGAAATGTTTACTGAAAAGATTAGCTTGTCAGTGGAGCCTGGACAGATGGCTATTGATCCTCTGCTCGTCTGTCATCCCTACCGCATCTGAGACTAGGTGTGGGAGCAGGTCCTCGCTGACCCAGAGCTCAGGGTGGGGGCTCAGGCCCCAGGTCCAGTGGCACACAGGAAAAGAGGTTTGCAATGTGAGAAGGTCTCTGAGATATAGGGCGTGGCCAGAGTGGCCTCTGAGTCCCTGGAAGCCCCCCTCCTCTGGGGTCATGGAAAAAGCACAGGAAATCGCAGACTGGTGTTCAAATCCTGCCTTGAAATTTTTTGTGACCTCAGGCTCCGTGAGACTCAATTATTCTCATCCGTAAAGTGGGAACAATAACACCTACCTCATGGAGGCGTTTCAAGGCCTAAATCAGGAAGTAGATATCAAAATTCGAAGAACTAACATTGTTGAAGGGATGTGTGATCTTAAAAATGTGAGAAGTGAACCCACAATGAGAACTCTTGTCCTAGTCCCTGAATTCTTTTAACGTGAAACGCTATTTGGTGGTCTTGAGGAGTCTGGCTTGTAGGATGTTCTGAAGAATTTGACTTTTGACCTGAGGGCAATGCTGAGCTACTGAGGGGTGTGACTTGATAAACTATGGGTTTAGCAAGATCATTCTGGCAGTAGGGGAACAAGGCTGGAATTTGTCAGAGCTAAAGTAATGGCAGTAGGAATACAGAGGCCCCTTGGAGTTCAAAGGTATAGACCTTGATGATTAATTGACTGGCTGATTGGACTTGAGAGATGGGGGGATGGATGACTCCCATGTGCATGGTGACCCTTTCAGTGAGAAGGGGAGCCCCAGGAAGAAGCAGACAAGGGGAAGACAATGAGCTTATCTGGAACACTGTGAGCATGAGATGCCTGTTAAGACTCCCAAGTAAGATTGTATCCCAGGTGGTTGATCATGAGCCTATTGCTCAGGAGTCAGCTCTGGACTCCACAGGATTCTGGAGTCCTCAACGTCATCATCACCATCACTTGGTTGGTAATGGAGGCCACCAGAGTGCACAGGGCTCCCAGGAGGATGCCTCATGA